TTCAAGCAAACCAATACAATCCCCATACCTGTTTCAGCTGTAGATGGAGCTAATGATCCTGCTTCCTAAGGTGGTGGTGATGAGTTTAGGTAACATACACACAGAGACCGGCACATAGCAGAGTCCTTATAGCAACAACTACCACCATGTGAATGGCAGCCACCACTGACGGGGTGCTTAGCATGAGACAGCTTAGGGGTTAAAGTGCTTTCATATCCATTAAGTAATTTACTCCCCAAACCAACTCAAGGAGACAGATGATACTATCTTCATTATTTCAAAGATGAGGAAAAAGCTCAGAGGGTTTTAGTAATCCACCCAAAGGTACACAGCTCGTGAATGACAGAGCTGGGGTTTGAACCTGAGCTGCTTAGCCTAAACGTTGAGGTTAAAGCTCTCAGGCTATAGTAGTAATAGTAGTAGCGCTAGTAACTTGGGTTAATTGACCACCTTCTGTAGGTCAGGCACTTTTCTAAGCAAGCACTTGATATTTAATTCTCATTTAATCCCTACCACAGTGCAAAGGCACAGAGAGGTTAAATAATTTTCTTAAGGTCACCTGGCTAGCTAGTGGCATAGCTGGGATTTGAACCCAGGCAACTTGATGCCAGAGTCTATGCTTTCAGCTGTGATGCTGAACTGCCTCTTGAATTCTTACCATTATTTTCAAAGTTCCAAAAAGTGACCAGAACTAGGGTGCTATTCCATGACTAGATTTTGTGAGGCCCCACCTGTCTTGTGGTGGTCCCTGGTCTTTAACCCTGTTAAAATGTCCCTCTGACTACCCCAGAGAGCCCCCTGCTGGGATCTCCATCCCTGGAGTCAGTCTGGCTGGGCCATCAGCACTGGTTGTCCCGGGGAAGTCCCATTCCTCACCGTTACAGGAGCATTTCCTCTCCAGGTGGTGCCGCGGGGTCAGGATGCTGAGCCTGGCTGTGCTGTACGTGGGCCCAACCCTGGGGTCCAAGTGCACGGTCTCTTGGCAGATTTGTCCCTGGCAGGCTGGCCCCTGGCAGGGCACCACAGGCATGGCTGACCTCATCTGAATTCCCACCGAGTGTTCCATCTCCTTGGCTGAGTGAGTGATGTTGGATGCCAGCTCCTGGAGCTTGGAAAAGGTCCCCAAATGCCCCTCAAAGACCAGGAGCACGTCCACCCCAGCCATGGCCTCTGCAGGCTGCAGGCTGGCCAGGTGGATGCTGGCTCGTTTGATGTCCAGCCTGTTGCTGAGGAACCTCTGCAGGTTCCTCCAGTGGTCACTCACCAGCTCCTCCGGGGTGAGCTGGTGGAAGCCCATCCACACGGTCTGCTGCAGAGCCTCCCGCCCCACATGCCACACGTGGACATGGACCCCAGCAGTGGTGGAGAAGGTCCCATCGCTGACCATGACGTTGAACATGTAGCGGCCCCGAGGCAGCCCCTGGGCAGCGATGATCTTGCCATCAGACGTGCCCACTGTGAAGCGCCTGCCCAGGCTCTCCTCTCCTGCCAGGCTGTAGGTCAGCGTGTCCTGTGGGTCTCGGTCTGTGGCGTGGATTTTGCCCACCATGCCGCCCTGGAACTCCTCCTCCCCGATGGTGATGAAGATCTCCAGTGGGAGGGCGGAGGGTGGGTAGTGGCTCTGCTCCCTGACATGGACGCTGACCAACGTGGAAGATGAGAGGGGCGGGGTGCCGCTGTCTGACACCTGTGGGTGAAGCGGGCACCGAATTACCATAGGACTGGGGCTGTCGGGGCCTCCCCAGGGAGCCACATCCCTCTGCTCCAGGGCAGGCTCAGCGTGTTGTTGCATTTGAAAGGGAAAATTGTAACTCCAAAAGCACTGAGGGCTCTGTGGAGGGAGTTACATCCCACATCACTGGTGTGGGTGGTAAAACGTAACTCCACCTTCCATCTGACACTTCTCTGAGCCCGTCCTAAGCCTCTCCAGCCACACGCGGCTTCCTACCTCTTGAGCTTCTCTCATTCTGTCTCTTTCCTTAGGAGGGTCATCAAAGGTCTCCTAGTGATTCTAGGGTACACCCTTCATGGCCCCTGTCAGCCTAAGGAGGTTCTCTTACACCTCTTTACTATGTGACTGGGGTCGGGGTTGGGATGGGCATGTCTTCTTCAGCTCAAACAACAAATATTTATTGAGTGCCTTGTATGGGCCAGGCCGTCTGCTATGATCAGAAGAAAAGAGAGGTGAGGAGAAGAGGTGACAGACAGGGAACAGCAAGCGTCAGGCCCTCTGGTGGGAAAGAATGCTCAACACAGCAGGAAGGGACCACTGCTGCTGGAGGAGCGGGCAGGGCTGAGGGCCAGAGGTGAGCAGAGAGGGAAGCCCAGGCTGTCGCTGATGGGCTGAGGAGCACGAGGTTGGATTTAAGGCAGGCCCGAAAAGCCACTGCAGGTTTGAAGCAACGTGACCTCACTTAAGCAAGGAAAGATCGTAAATTAGAAATGCCTTTCCCTTGCACATTTCACCAAACATCTCTGCAACTTTCTGTCTGGACTTAGCAAGGAGGAAGCTTTCCTTCCTCTCCTCAGTAATGTTATCACTTTCTCAGCTGTCAGCAGGGTCTTCACGGTTTTCCCTACGGTAATATCTTGTTCATGTGGATTCGCTTTGAGTGCGGGAGAAAGGTGCAATATTACACCTACTGCTGAGAATTGTGCATAACACTGATGAGATATAAATAGCAACAGTAATAATTAACATTACTACTAAGAATAATATATAACTAATATTAACTGAGTACAAACTGTGTGCCAGTCACTTTTGAACGCTTTAAATGCATGATCGTAGTTTATCTTTCTTATGAGGTAAGTACCCTGAAGTGTCCTATTTTACAAAAGATATAACTGAGTCTCAGAGAGGTCAAGTGACGTGCCCAAGGTCATACAGCAGGTAAGGCCAGAGCAGAATCTGAACTTCTTCTTGTGTTCATAGCCTGTTTCTTTGCTGGCCTATAGTGCCTCCCAGTGAACGGAAGCAGAAATACAGGACAAATGCAAGAGACAGTGATGATGCCAATAGTTACTGAGTGATTGTCTGGGCCAGTATACCGAGGTCAGGAAGCTGTTGCCTCCCTAGATAGTCACACCCATGTCCTTGGCTTTGAGGACCCTCTACATTAGCCCACGCCTGTCCTCTGAGCTGCAGACTCCCATTCCCAGCTGCCTATTGGACACCTCTACTTAGATATTTTATGGACACCTGAAAGGTAACATATGCTAAGCAGAGCCCTCATTTTACCCCATAAACCTGTCCCTCCCCCACCCCAAGTCTTTCCAGTCTCATAGATGGCCCTATCATCCAGACTTTACTGGAGCCAGGAACCTGGGAGTGGTCATGATTCTTCTCTTTTCTCTCTCTCTTCGTATCCAATCCACCACCGACTCCCATTTATTTCCAAGCAAAGCCTGTCGCAGATACGTCCATTTGTTCATCTTCACCATCACCTCAAGGTCTCATCACCACTACCTCCAGCTTAGATGAATTCTCATTGGTCTCCCTCAACCACTCCTGCCCCCTTCAACTGACTTTCTCTAGAGCTTCAAAAACAAGCCTCCTGAGACACAAGAAGGGTCACTTCTCTCTTTGAAACCCTTCAATCACTTCTAATTGCACTTTGATTAGAATCTAAAAGTATTATCAAGGCTTATCATTAGGATGACTCTACTTCCTGGTTAGCCCAGGACAGTCTTGATTTTCACCTTTGTGGATCACTTATCACCAATTAACTATTTTTAGTGCCTCTCTCACTCTCAAGAACATCACAGTTTGGGCCTCAAATAACACGGTCATCCAAGCTATGAGACCCGCGTGATCCACCCAACCCATCTCTTCAACTTCATTCCCACCGATGCTCACCAATAGCTGACCACATGGCAACACCTCAGGTCACTTCAAGCTCTTTCCCACCCTGGCACTTGGTCTCATCTTGCTCTTCCTGCCTGTGATACTCTCCTGCACACTTTCCACATGGGCAGCTCCTCAGATCTCAGCTCAAATGCCCCCTCCTCACAAGGACAGCCACCCTCTGAAAGTGTCTCTCTTGTGCCTTATGAGCCTCCTGTCACTTTCTTCATCTGTTTATTGCTTATCTCCATAATTAGAATCAAAACCCCATGGGGATGGGGATCATCCCCTTCTTTCCCCTGCTATATTACTAGCAGGTAGCATGCCATATGATAAGTACTCATAAATGTTAAGTATATGATAGGTACTCATAAACGTTTGTTGAATGATGAATGGCTGGCTGGCTGGTTGGCTGGCTGAATGGATGACTACATCATTGTGAGCCCAGAGAAGTTCACAGAATAGTAGGATCCACTAGATTTGAGATTTAGGAAAGGGATTTGGGGGAATGAAATGAGGGAGAAATGTTTGATCACCATCTTGGCCACTTTTCCTTGGGCAGTTCTCATACAACCCATATAATATCACCATAATCCTCTCCATGTATGTATATGTTCTCTCATTTGACCCCTGCACTGAAACTGTGGGTAATCATGGAGTAGTGGATCTATGGATTAGTCAAATTCATTTCACCTGCCTTCACTAAACAAGGTCATTTAAAGACTTGCACCTGCACATATCCTAAACAATATGATGTTTTCCAGAGTTATTTTCCAGGACTTGGAGTCAACCGTGACTAGTTGGAGTTGAGCTGGTTAAGACTGGGTAGGACCGCCGACCCTTTAACTGGGCATGCCCAAGGGTCTGCTTGGTGACCTTGACGTCAGAGGGCAGAAAACCCTCAGATAGTGCTAACTGCCTCCATTTTTGAACGTGCAGAGACCTGTAGCTTAGTTACACCTGCGGCAGAACTATGATTACTGCACCTTTTTCCTGTCACCTTTCCCCATGCTCCCCATGCGTCAGACTGCCCTGCTCCTTTATTTTTTATTCCATAAATGCCCCAAGCCCCTTGCCTTTTGGGAGGCGGTTCTGAGACTTGTTCTCCTATCTCCTTGCTTGGCTGCCTTGCTAATAAACCCTCTCTTTACTGCAGACTTCGGCATCTCAGCATTTCAGTTTGCTGCACGGTTGGACAAACTGAACCTGGTTCGATAACAGCACCAATTCTCTGAGGTAGGTCTTTCAAAAGACTTGAGGTTCAGAGAGCTGTCCTGGCCAAACTCAAGGAGTTAGAGCCAGGGTGCGGGAGTTTTTGTTCTGTCTGGGAGCAGGGGAGGAATTAAGAGCTTGGAGTCAGAATGCTTGGGTTTGAAGCAGCCCAGCTCTACCACTTATTAGTAGCATTACTTTCAGCCAGTAACTTAACCTCTGGGTACCTCAGTTACCACATTGGAAACTGGGGGTAATAACCGTACTCACTGTACAGCATGTTGTGGGGATTTAATGCAGTGATGCCCGTGAAGCACTTAGGCCAGTGCCTGGCACAAAGGAAGAGTTCTGTATATGTCAGCACATTTTCTGTCCCCATGGTCACCACCAGTGGCCCAGCACAGCTCTCACCTCGATCTGAAGCTGATACCATTCCTGGACTCTCTTGCTCAGGCCTGCAGTGGTCACCAGCCATCCGTCCGGGGTCACTCGGAAGGCAGAGCCATCGTTCCCCTTGGTGATTTGAAATGAGTAGGGGGGACCATTCTCTGGGGAGTCTGGGTCACTCAGGATCAGTTGCAGGACTTTGCTGCCGATGGGGGAGTTTTCCTGAGACCAAGAGAGACAGGAAATCAAAGAGCAAAATGAGTCCCAGTCCTTTCTTTCACATCTTTCCGGGTCCCCTTCTCTGGGATGAGTCCTCAGCACTCTGACTGCTCCCAGGTCATGTCTGCATCTTGAGATGTCATTCATTCATTCTGCCCATCTGTGAATTAGTTGTTGACTTTTGAACTTACTGAGGGCAGTGCTGGTTTTTAGAAACAAAGCCCATTGGGGCTGGAAGGGTCTTTAGAGTCCCTTTATCCTATAGAGGTGACTTGCCGAAGTCACATAGCTGATGACTCATGTATATAAATTAGTGCCTGGGGTCCATGTGGGAATTTTGTGATTCATAGGGTCCATTGAAAACCTATAAATGGTTTTCTGATTAGAGGACCAATGAGAAAATTCAAAGATGATTAGGAATTAACAGAGAAAAATGGATCCCCTGGATATTGTTCCAGTCATTGTTCTATAACACGGGAATTCAGTATGCTGTAACACAGTGGTTGTTAACTCTCTTTTTTAGCATCAAAACCTTATCTACAAACAGTATCTTATGAGCAGAAACTGGTAATTGCCTATCCAACAGGCATTCTTTCCTTCCTTTCTTACAAAACCCGACTTTTGTTCAGGCGTTGGGTGGCAATATCCTCAGCAAAGATATACCCCTCCTAAGAGGAGATGGACTGTGATTGGTTTAAGTCAGTTACAATAATCTGAGTCCCTGTGCCAGTTTTTGGATTTAAGGGCAATCATGTAATCCATTTCTGATCATTGGAGGAGTCTACCAGGTGGGGGTTCTGAAAAGTCTTCTTCTTTGATAAAAACAGATTCTGCAAAAGAAGTCCCCATCTGTTTGCCTTTGAAGATGGTTTAGCAAGGATGTGATGCTGGAGCTGCAGCAGCCATTTTGTTACCACGAGGGAGAAGGTACAGGAATTTTGAAGAAGGTAACCCAAAGTTGTGATATCAGTTTCCTGCTGAAATAACCAATTCTGGAATAGAATTTCCCACGAGCAGACCTTTTGTTATGTGAAATAATAAGGCCTTATTATTTAATAAGCTTTTAGTCAGGTGATCTGTTATTTGCAGCCAAAGCATCCTAACTCATACTCATGATACAAAACAGGTGAAAGTGGGGTGACGCTGGTTGATGCATAGTGTGACACAGAACTCTGTCCTCTTACCTACTTCCTCACCTCCCTCACCCCTTGTGGTCACAGTTCCCCACGGAATCTTAAGACTCTCTCCAAATCCCATTCACAAACCATTAGTATGGTGGAAATAGCTTGGGATCTGGAAGATCTTCTGGGTTCAAATCCCAAATTTGCCACATTTTGACTGTGGCACATTTCTATACTTCCATTTAAAAAAATCTATGAAATGGGTACTGTCTAATTCCATATGGCTGTGTGAGTCCCCCATGCGATCATGGATGTGGATGTGCCTAGCACAGTGCCTGATGATTTTTAATTGTGTAATCCATAATCCCCTTCAGCAGACCGTGTTGCCATTAGGGATATCAATGCAAGGTCACAGTCACTGTTTGGGTGGACTGGTATCAGTGGTGAGTGCCCTCCACTAGGAGGGATATGAAGGGAAGATGGATTCAGGATGCTTTGGGAAGCTTGAGCATACCTGGATGGAAGTGCTGTAGTTGAGCTGGAAGAATCTTGGTGGGTTATCATTGACATCAGCCACTTGGATAGCGATGTCTGTGTCCTCATGCAGTGGGGGCTTCCCACTGTCTGTGGCTCGGAGCCTCAGGGAGTAGCTAGAAATCTACAGCAAGATGCCCAGAGGAGAGTTAGCAACAAGACCACTCAGTTCTGCCCCCTGATTCATGACTAATGTTTTTAGAAAAATAAGATGGAGACACTCCCCTATGCCTGCCCTCATTACTCTCCCATAGCCTTTTAGGGCTCAGGTTCTAGAGTCAGGCAGAAGTAGGTTTGACTTCCAGTTTAACCATTTACTAGATGTGAGACCTTGGGAAAGTGACTAAGCTTATGTGAGGACGGTATTAGGACCTACCTCCTAGGATTACTTTAAGGACCAAATGGCCTAAGGACCAAATGGCGTAATGTATGTACATCACTTAGCAAAGTTCCTGGCACAGAGCAGGTGCTCAATAAGTGATAACTTGTAATGATCTAATGATCCCTGGTTAATAGTGAGAAGCTGGCCTGAGCTCTTTCAGGAAGGTTAAAGTTTACTCAGCCCCTCTCCTGCTGAGGTCAGGGGGACCCACAGAGAAAAGGAGTGGGAGGCCCTGAGGGCAGGTCTAGAGAAGTGTCAGGATGGGGTGTTGAACACAGTTCACCCTCTGGACCTGCAGCAGGGCTGTATTCTGCTCTGATGAGCTCAGATTGGGCCCCTCCCACATGATTTACCTGTTCCCAATCCAGGGCCTTGGCCACCTGTAGTTCCCCTTTCTTGGGGTGGATAGCAAAGTGCCCAAGCTCGTTCCCTCCTATGAGGCTGTAGGTGATGGCACTATTTAGGGGTCCATCTTCGTCATTCGCTGACACCTGCAATAGAGGCGGGTGACAGTTGTGATTGGGGAGGCAAGAAGGAACAGAAAGGAATCTTGGCCCCTGGGAGTGTAGGGGGCACAGATATGTCCCTGCCCCATACACTGCCCTTGGGCTGGCAATCCCTGGACCATAGTCACCCTTGCCAAGGGAATCTCCTCATACATCCTAGTATGGATGTCAGCGTGCGTGGTTCATTCGTTTATCTATCCATTCATTCATTCATTCACTCATTCACTCATAACTGACAGGATGCTAGGGTCCTGTGCTAGGAGTTGAGGAATGTGCCAAAATGAATAAGCCCTCAGGAAGCTTAATGTCTAATTTTATGGACAAGTCTAATTTGGGGCAAAGTATGATCAACTTTATGGTGATAAATTTCACCTGGAGAGATTAGAAGAGGATTCATGAAGCCCTGAAGGCTTCTGGGAGTGGAGCCAGCATTCCAGGCAGAAGAAACAATGTGAGCCCAGAGGTATGAAAGTACAGAGGATGTTTGGGGAATGGTACCTCTTCCTGTGTGGTTGGAGCATAGGGTGCATATCAGGGGGTGGAAGGAGACGAGAGCCTCGAATGTGGACATACAGAGTTTGGTTTCACTCCATGAAGTGAGGAGCAATTACATGTTTAAATGCAAAAAGGTGTTGTATGGTGTCCCCTCTCTTCCTCCCCTCCCATGCTGACACTCAGTGTCCCTCTGGCCATCCTCTGGGGCCTCTCCCATGCCCCATTCTTTCAGTACCTGATCTAGATCTTATCAAACGTGGCTCTGAGAAATTTTATCATGAGAGAGTTTGGTTGAGTGGCTACAAGTCAGAGTCAAGTCTGTAGTGTATTAATTGATAAAATAATCCATGTTCATAGATGACTGGGGGAGGGGGAGATACAAACCCACCCCAGAGTCCATGCCCCTCAAAAGGGCAAAATTGCACATCCTTACTGTGAGCACAACATCACCCACGATGGCATTCTCTAAGACCCTCGTGCTGTACAGATCCTGGGAGAATCTGGGCCGGTGTTCGTTGACATCAGTGATATTGACCACAATTGTGGTCATGTCACTGAGGGAGGAGGAGCCCTTCCGGCTGCACTCGATGGATAGGAAGTACTTGGGGCTTGTCTCAAAGTCCAGGCTTTTATTGACGTACAGGATCCCTGAGGAAACAAGAGGTGATGGGAGCATTGAGGCAGTTGGGACCACAAAGGCAGAGTACTGAGGGGGTCTTGAGCCAAACCCCAGGAGAAGCAGCTCAACTGGGTTGGGAGAGACAGACCTCCTGCATCATCTCCTCCATCATCTCACCTCCCTCTTCATTTTCTCTCTCCCATAGCCTCCCCCTTCCCCTCCATTTCCTCTCATTTTCCTTATTACCATTCTCAACAGCAGTGTTTCCCTCATTTATTTCTGTATTACTTCATTGAAATCTCATTTAATTCTATAATACTGACTCTATCTCATGTAGATCTGTAATAACCCTGTAGAGCAGGAACAAGTGTGATTTCCATTTTCTAGGTAAGTCAGCTGACGCTCTTAACATTTACATGACTTGCCCCAGCTCAGTCACCTAGTAAATGACAGAACTTAGATTATAGAGTTTTATAATACCCAAAGCTGTGTAACAAATTATTAGAGCAGAGATTTATTATTCTGAACACTGGAAAATAAAAGAACAAGGATTTATCCTGCCATTCCTGTATAACTGAATAGTTAATGGTAGAACACTCTTCTTTATAAAATAATTCCAGTTAGTAAATGAATGAGGAATGATAAGGTTAGAAAAATCACCATTTTGCAGCCCCTAATGAAATAATATATCTGGGAAATAATCATTAAAGGCTGTTAAAACCATTAGAAAAAGAGCTGGATGGATCAGGCTGACAACCCCCGAACCCACCATCAATCTTGACCTCAGCAAAAAGAACCAGTCAGCCATTATGTGCCTCCTCCTGTGGCGCAAAGGAGAGCCCAGCATCATCTATGAAGCTTTGTTGGCAAAAAAATTGAGCTTGAACCGCATCAAGGTCTTTGATCCAAATGTCATTTATAATAAATATAGGGGCTAGAGAGATACGTTATATGACACCATAAAGATACAACTAGCCAATCTAAAATTATTTTTAAAATCCTGCCTCACACACGACCCCAATATTTCATTAAATAAATGGCAGCAGGAAATAAAGAGGGAGAGGAAAACGTTAGAGGTTAAAAGATGCTTAAGACACTGCCTATCAACCAGATGCAATATGTGGACATTTGGGGGATGCTGACAAGCAAATCCACTTCTAAAAGACATTTGTGAGATAATCTGAAAAATTGTCTGGCTGGGTATTGGACTGTATTAAGGAATTATTATCTTTTGGGTGTGATAATGGTATTATGGTTGTGTTTATACAAGGAGTCCTTATCATTTAGAGAGAGATACACACTAAAGTATTTACAAACCAAATGATATCATGTCTGGGATTTGCTTTAAAATAACTCAGCAGTAGGTGGATATGGGGGGCAAAGATGAAACCAGACTAGACAAATATTGATAATTACTGAAGCTGGGTGATGGGAACATGGGGTCCATTATACTGTTCCCTCTATTTGTTATATGTTTAAAGTCTCTGTAATAAAAACTAAAAAAATACTGCTCAACAGTAAGGCGGATGCCTTAGGAGGTAGAGCGCACCGTTGCAGAGGTGTTGTGGTGAGGAATCCACATGGAGCCTGGTCGGACCTGAGCAGCCTCTGAATCCTCCCTTCCATGGGATTCTGGGAGTCTGACTTAGACCCTCCTGTGGCTAGGAGAGAAGAGAGCCGGTTTCCTAGTTCTCTCTCTTTATGAGACTAAGGGAAAATTCGGGGGTCCCCGGATGTTTCGGGGAGGCTTTAGGAGGGAAGCAGGCAGCCTTGCCTTGGGCTGCCTAAGCCCCAGATTCTAGCAAGATTCTTCGTGCCTTGGCAGCCAAGGATGGAGGGTGGCTTCAGCCTCCTGGGGCTGGGTGTGAGCCAGGACTATGAAGCTGCAAACTGGGAGGAGAGAGTCCTCAATAGAGTCTTTGGTGGGGATGTAGTGGAATAAGGGATGTTTCCATGTAAGCTGGCCCCATGCTACAAGAAGGGACTTGGCACCTGGAGAGATGGAGAGTGAAGAAGGGGCTGAAGGATGCTGGGGAGGGGCTATGGTATGCGAGGAGTCCAGTGTTCCCCAAGACTCTGTGTGTGTATATGTGTGTAGGGGGTTGCTCCCTCACCTGTGTGGGCATCCAGGCGGAACCGTCCCTGCTCGTTCCCGCTGACCACGCGGTAGCTGGTCTTCTCGGCGCCCGGGCGAGTGAGGGTGGCCAGCCGCAGAACCTCCGTGCCACGCTGGGCATCCTCGGGCACCTGCACGCTGTGCTCGGTGTTCAGGAACACGGGCAGGTAGTCATCCAGGCCCACCACGGAGATGGTGACGGTGCCCAGCGTGGACAGCGGTATTGGGGTGCCCAGGTCAGAGGCACGGACGGTGAGCTCCAGTGCTGCCTGTGGCCTGACCCGCAGTGGCTTCTCCAGGCGGATCACGCCCGTGGTGGCCTCGATGGAAAAGCGGCCTTCGGCAGAGTCCGTGAGAGAGTAAACCACCTGAGCATTGGTGCCTGTGGGGGGAGACAGAGCGCGTGATTCATACAGAGGGACCCTCCTCTGGCCCTGCCTGCCGCAGAGCTTTCAGCCAGAGGAGGGCCTAGCCAGCAGGGTCCCCATAAAGGCTAACATGCTTAGGCTGTTAGCAGTGAGACTCTCTCATGTGAGGGTTCTTGACTAGGGTGGGGTTCAAGGCCTCATAGAAAGGTTCTTATGAAGGGGAGGGTTCTGCAAGCCCTTAAGGACATCTGAAGCTGTTTATGTGGAGGTTAGGGTCCAGTGTCAGCTCACAAAATAAAAATTGTGCAAGATCAAAAGCACCCATAGTGAGTTCTTTGGTTGTGATAGAACAATCCTGTATCTTGATTGTGGTGGTGTTTGCATACATATTCAAATGCGTGCATATAGAAACTGTGAAATCTGAATAAGACTGGAGTCCAATTACCAGTAATGTCCCAGGGCCAGTTTCCTGGCTTTGATATCATACTGCACATGCTGCCGTTGGGGGAAGCTGGGTGAAGGGTGCTGGGCCTCTCAGTACTATTTTTGCAACTTCCTATGAGTCTATAATTATGTCAGAATAAACCAAAACAAACAAACAAAAAAACACACACCCACGGAAAGTTCTTAGTAAATCAAAGCCTGTGGTGTTTTTCCAGCTCTGACTCAGGTGCTATTATTTCCTTGGGTTGTGGACCAGATGAAGCAGTTGGCTCATGTAGGGACCATAGCGTCTGAAGAACACCAACATTTAGTGCTCAGCCATGAGAGCCTTAGCCAGCGGGAAAAGCACAGGCTCTGAGCCTATAGGGATTGAGTCTTATACACACGTGGGGACACACAGCCCTTTCATTGAATTTACATGAAATAAATGTGCATACCATGCACATTCTCCCATGTATGAATTTTCTGGAGAGAGAGAGAGGCGCTGGTCAGGCTATATTTGGAATATTGAGGTGGAATATTTGGGTTAGAATAATAATAACAGCTTTGAAGTGTTAATGGTTAATTGGTGCAAGGCCAGAGGATGAATCCTAGAAGAGAGGTGGGATTGGAAACACGAGATTGAAGAAAGTAGGGCCCTTCTACCCAGAAAGGGAACCTCGAGGCTGGAGCGGATAGTCACCACCTCCTAGTGTCTGAAGGGCTGTCATGGGCGAGGGCCTGGGAGATCTGTGTGGCTGCAGAGGGCAGGACCGTGATGGACAGATGTCTGCTCCAAAAAGGTAACACTTGATAATTATCTGAGGTACCATGGAAGGAAGGGGCTGCCTAGGAAGTAGGGAGCTTCCTGTCCCTGGAGGTGTGCAAGCACTGGCTAATTGAGCATTTGCAGGGCCTTGGATGTTCGATGCCTTTGCCCTCCCTAGGACCCCTGCATTCCTCCAAAATCTCTCACCTTCGTCAATGCCAACCTAAAACTCACTTCCTCTAAGAAGTCTTAAATTTTACTCTGTTGGTGTCAAACAAAGCAGGGTGTTTTGATCCCTCTTTTATCACCATCACCATCATCATCATTGTCATATCCTATGTTCCTCTGGCAACTTTGACCCTGAGGGTATTTTTTTACCCAACCTAAATTATAAAATTTAATTCAAGAAAATTGGATGTGCATATATATATATATATATATACACACACACGTATATGTGTGTGTATATATATATATATATATAAAAAAAACATGTATATATATATACATATATCTATAGATATAGAGATCTCCACAATGAAACACTTCATGATGTCAGAAGCTATAATTGGTATAATATGGAATGAAGACTCCTGGATGAATCCAATTTGCCTTGTAAGTAGTAAAAGGAAAAGAATTAACCCTAATGAAAACAATGTCATTACAATTAAAATGCAAAATAAAATGTAAAATATTCCACTTCATTGACTAGAAAATTGATCCAAGAATTTGATAGACTTAATGGAGTTTGTGCCCTAAGTTTCTTTCTTGTGGCCAATTAATCAGAGTTGAATAATTCTGATTGGTGTATTTCACATTAAATGTTTGTATTCCAATGTTCTTGAGGTTAAATGGTGGGATGGAAAGGGCTCCAGGTCTAAGTGGCAGTGAGAAACAATGAGGCTGAAATGCCCCATACCAGCTTTGAAACATTGCCAAAATCTTTCGTACCTAGCACTTAGGTATGCAGTTTGTGGACATTTTCCACTTGTACGTGTCTGTAGGCTCAGGAGTGAGGTATTGCCAGTCTCAGAGCAACACAGAGAAAGCCAGACCCTCGCCCAGGGTGACCCTGTAAGCAAATGGCCTCCAATCCTTCTCTTTCTCACCTTGGTCTGGGTCCCGGGCCAATACCACCGCAACGGGGGTCTTTACTGTGGTGTTGTCGAAGACTGCCACAGCACAGTGGCTGGGGAAGAACCGGGGGGCGTTGTCATTCACATCCTCCACGTGAAGGGCCACATCTGCCTGGCACGATTGGCCGCCTCCATCCGTCGCCTTGGCAACAAGGCTGTATGCATCCTTCTTTTCTCGGTCTAAGGCTGTGAGTGTGGTCAGCTCCCCTGGCCGGAGAAAGGACAGCAAGTGAGCTTTCTCTGGGGGCAATGACCCCAGCATGTGACTTCCTGATGTCTATGTGAGACAAACCCAGCCATGCAGTGTGCTGTCACAGAGAAAAGGGGTCAGTCCTGTGTACAAATGGTTAGGAAAGGGGTTCAGTCTTGTAGCTTCCCACACCTGCTCGCCTCCCTAGTCACATTCCACCACCACATCCCCAATTTAAGATCCACACCAACAAGCTACAAAGAGGCACAACATTTTAAAAGGCCAGTTAGGCAATTTCTAACAGCGCATAAAATGGGTTTATCCTTTGGCCTGCAGTTTTACTTCTAGGAATGTATCCTATAGAATAATCAACCCAAGGATAAAATATACATATAGAGATATTCTCTGCAGCATTCTTTATAAATAGCAACATACTGAAAATATCCTGTGTCTTTCAGAAAGGTACTGGTTAAATATATTATCATTTAGCCATATAGTAAAATACTATGCAACACAAAAGGAATTATGATAGAGCTTTATGTACTGCCTTGTTAATAGCGCCAAGATATTGCTATGAGAAAAAAGTCACAACGTAGTATGCTACATAGAGATGTGGGGGATGCGTGGAAAAGCGGTCTGATAGAATATATACCAAGAGTGCTTATCTTTGGGGGAGAGGCTGGTTATCATGAAGACTTTCCAATTTCCGCATAATACATGCCTACGTGGTTTGAATTTTTGAATAATGAGCATGTATTATTTCCATACTCAGAAAAACCGCCGAGTTTTTCTTTTTGTTTTTTTTTTTTAAGACCCCACCGATCATCCTGCAGCTGGACAAACAGCAACAGAGATTAGGTCACCTACTTGGGGTCACTTGGGGTGACTCAGCATGCCCATGCTGGGGTCAGACAGGGTAGTGCTGTCTCCTTTTTATTTATTTAATTAATTTATTTGTTTATGGCTGCATTGGGCCTCCGTTGCTGCATGCGGGCTTTCTCTAGTTGCATCGAGCGGGGGCTACTCTTCATTGCGATGCATGCGCTTCTCACTGCAGTGGCTTCTCTTGTTGCTGAGCACGGGCTCTAGGTGCGTGGGCTTCAGTAGTTGTGGCTCGGGGGCTCTAGAGCGCAGGCTCAGTAGTTGTGGCGCACGGGCTTAGTTGCTCCGTGGCATGTGGGATCTTCCCAGATCAGGGCTCGAACCCATGTCACCTGCATTGTCAGGTGGATTCTTAGCCACTGCGCCACCAAGGAAGTCCCAATGCTGTCTCCTTCTATCCAGACAGTTTTCTGGGATACCAGCTCTCACCTGCCACCTCCCTGCTCAGGAATCTCCAAGGCATCCTTTGAGCTACTGACTCCAAGTCAAGTGTCAGAAGCTGGCTCTCTGTCACCTGGGCCTTCTGTGCTGTCCGTCTCCACACCCTTCCTTATAGCAGCAGGACAGGGATCCCTCCTTTTCTAAAGGAAGCAGTCTCTACCCTGTCTTCTCCACCAGATGCTCACAGGCCAACCTCTCCCAGGTATTCGTGGTCTATTCTGCTGGACTGTCTGTTCCCCACTCTCCGCTTTGTCCCCTAACTGATAATAATTGACAATAGAAACCATAGCTACTGAATTCTTATTATGTGCCAGACCTGGGCTAGATTTCTATATACTTTATTTGTTGGGATCCTTGCAACAATGCTATGAGATTTTATCTCAATCTGCAGCATACAATCTTGAGATCATGTCTTTGACCATGACTCTCACCTGCTTGAATCCTTTAATGGCTCTAAAGGTGGGATTTGGCCCCCCTGCTCAGAAGGGCCTCATCCTTTGCTCTCTCTCCCTCCCCACCTTCTGTGCACCAATTTCTGGCTGTGCTCTTTCCCAAAACAAGGTCCTCGTATAAAATCTCCTTCTGCCTTGAATATCCATCCCTACCACTCCCTTAGCCCCTGGCTACATTTCCTCAGAGAAGTTTTACTTAACCCTGATCCCAAATTTAAGTCCTCCTGTCAAACCTCCCCTAGCATCCTGCATTTTTTCTTAGCACACGTCAAACCACTGATTCAATGACTGCCTTTCCCACTGGATTGTAAAGACCTAGATCTTGTCTTATCAGTTTATGTCCTTAGCATCTAGTGAATGCTCGACACACAGTGCCATATGTTTGCTGAGCGGATGGATGGATGGATAAGTAAATTCCTGTTTCTTTTCTAAGGAGCCTGGGTACTGGGCCCTGGTTATTCAGTGTATAAGTTCATTGCTTGATCCTGCAGCTCAGGAAACCTACCTGTATGAGGATCCAGCTTGAATTCATC